TAATTAAACAGCATGCACTTCACTTGTTTTCAAAATAATATATATATATATTCGGAACAAGTTAAATGTATGTACAACAAATTATTCACACTATAGAGATTATAGGCATATCATATGTATAGTTCTTTTCTTCTTGTGAAAAGTCCACTTAGGCCTATTCAATTACTTTAGAATTGCAGTTAACAAGCTGAACTGTCTTCTCTATTACTATTGCACTAGTATCCTGTGTGTGATTCACTTACAATTGTGGTGTGAGTAACCATAATTGTTTGGTCTTCTATCTTCTGAAGATCCTCTGTTCCTTTTGTCAAAGTGCACTCAAGCTGATTTAATTACTTTAGAACCACGCTTTAATGGAATAGATTTTTCTTATCTCCTTTTCTACTGTTAGACTTACTCTAATATATTAAATGTTAGGTCTATGTCAATCGTTAGGCCTATCACTTCTACGGTAGTTAACTTTACAGCAAACTTTTCCTTGCTCTTTAACTTTACTATTTTTTGCTATAATCTGCCTGCTGTTTTTGCTCATCTCACACTATTTATATCTTTATCACTCAATCGTCTGCCCACCTTCTATATTCTTGATGTCAATGTATCGCACATGACGTTTGATAGTCTCAACATCAATGAATTATTGACAAAACTTCCTATAATCATCTGCTTTTAACTCTTATTATAACACAAACTAAACAATAATAAAATATTCACTCACAAAAATAAATTAATGAATAATATGAATGGTATTTTATATCATGACACATACCTTTTATTTTCTAATCAAAAACAAACTAATAAATTTCTTATTATTTTTACAATGCCTGATCTTTGTCATCCATAATGTTCTTGGATTTGTGCCAGCCACAAATGGTATAGTATACATACTAACTATTGATTTAAAAACAGTATTCTAAACATTTCAACATATATACTTACTTATAAAGGCATTTTACATTAAATTTATAGTAAGTTTGTATATTACACATATTTACTAAAGCATGAAATAATAAACAAAATAACGTGTTTATGGACATTTTATGAGAAATTCTAGAACTAAACAGGACAAAACATAGAAGTGTCAAAAATGGAATTGTGTAATAACGAGAAATGCTGGAAACTTGCCAAAAAAAACAAATATTGAAATACTTTTTATTAAGCAAGAAGAAGGTAAGGATTATGTATTATAAATAAAATGTTTGTCAACCTGACCAAATAAATATATTAGTCATGACAAGGAGTATACAGATTTTTTTATTTGTTTTAATGATTCTTTCTACATTTGTAGGATACAGAGTGCCATGTGTTGAATCAAGATTTCAAGATTAAAATCTGATTGCAATGATCTGTAAATCAAGCACATAAGAGTTTAATTAACCATTCTTAAAAGAAAAGAAAATTTAGTAAATGTATTTTGAAACAGATTCTGTTTTGATAACAGTTGTAATTTCCAAAAAATTTAACACAGTAAGTTGATTATACTTATTATTTGTATTAGGTTATGGAAAAACTGTGAGCCATGTGATCATAGGACTTAAAACAGGCAAAGGAACAAAACAGTTGAAGTTAGACCCTACAATCTATGAGAGTTTACAGCGTGAGAAGGTAGAAGTTGGAGATGTGATATATATAGAGGCAAACAGTGGTGCCGTCAAGGTATGTTGTTAGTTTTCTGACAACTACTTGTTTGGTAAACCTTTTTGTATTTATCTTTGCTATAGATTTAACTTTTGTTTTTTATTTTTGAAATAACTTAATATCATGCTTAACCCTTTCATGGCGGGTCACAGGTGAAAGGGCATGTCATTTTGTTTGTTGACTAGCACTTAAAATTTTATTAGACTACTATTTCGTGAATTTGTGTCAATAAATTTGGTATCAAACTGTAGATTATAATTCAAATTTTAGAACTATATATTACTCAATTTGTTAATTTAAAAGTAAATATTTAAAAACACTGATAAACATCGATTTTTCTGTGTCACGTGGTATGTTGAATGCAGCACTGGTTTAAATTAGATGTTTGTTAAGTCAAAATACTAAGTCTATACTTTCATACAAATTAGAAACTCAAATTACAGATATTGACAAGCTAGAGTATAAAATAAGAAGGTCTTATCTTTTCTATTGATATTGCTCACGTAATAAATCAAACATAGTGGCACCCCGCCCACCTCTTTCCATTTTTGGAAACGCTCCCTTATATACACTTAGTTCTATATATGACATGACAAACCAATTGGAAGCTCAGAAATGTCCCCTAGTGGTTTTCGAGCCTTTTTAACGTACCTAGCACCATTTCTTTCTTTTAAACCAAGATTTCAATGAGGTAGGGTGTGACTTTAGTCTGCTTGAAATTTCAAATTTTTTAGACTTAGTTACTAAGCTTGATAAATTATAGTGGAATTCTATGGTATTGATGTGGTACTTATGATTTTTTTAGTTATTCAAATGTATACTAAAACCAAAAAAAATTTATTTTGTTTCATATCCTCCACGTGCAAAATTTTTAAAGGCTTAGCAACCTATGTCAAGCAGCAACTGAGTACAAAGGTCGTAACTAGAAGATATAATTGTATGCTTTACTTCTTTATTTACTGTTCTATGTTTTAATAAAAAATAAGTTTAAGAACTTATTTTAAAATAGCAATAATCTATATACGTATGATGTATAATAATTAAAATTTGACTGTATTTTACAAAATACTAGTCTACTAAAACACAGCCAAGACAAGTTACTTTGTACAGACCAAGGACAGTTTTATGTTATTTTATATGGTAACATGAGTGCACATGAGCCTAGTCATTGTAACTTCTGTATTGTTAGCCAGGCACGCCTGAAAGGTCAATATAATCAAAATAATAAATATCTATAAATGTATAATGTTATGAGATTTTAGCTATTTAGTCTAAACATTTATGTTTTCGTGTTATAAAGTGTGTTCATTCTAGAATGAAAGAGGCATAATTTATATTTATTACCTAATTTTTTATGG